AGGGTTTCACCGTGTTGGCCAGGCTGGTCTCGAACTCCTGACCTCAAGCGATCCACCTGCCTCAGCCTCCCAGTGTTGGGATTACAGGCGTGAGCCACCGCGCCCTGCCGAAACTGTTCTTTAAAAAACTAAACTAAGGCACCCCGCCTTAGTTTTAGTTTAGTTTTGTTTTAAGCTGGGAATGCCCTTAGCAAATTTCTATGCTGAGGAAAGGGAGCTAGCAGAGGTGAGGCTGAAGATGCCCACAGATGTGGGGGGATCCAAGTCCCAAACCAGAGAACACTGTACTCCCCTCCCCTCCCGGTTTGGTGGGAGCTGGATGGCTCCTGCCTGACGGCCTGTATTTTCTCAAAGGAGGAGGCAGAGGGTGAGGGATGGCGACCTCCCTGCCTTTCCTCCACCCACCTATTGGGTCTCCTGCCTTCCCCGCTACAGCCTCCTCACCCGCTGGCAAAGTAGTTGGGGGACTGAGGATAGTGGAGGAGGCGTATAACAGCCAGTCTGAGAGGACAAGAGAAGGGGTTGCCAAGAGAAGCAACTGAAATAGGAAGTGATACAGATGCTCCTCGATTCACAAGGGGCTACAGCCCCATAAACCCGTTGTATGTGGAAAATACATTTATTGTGGGCAGCACAGCAGATGGTCCCCCGACTGATAATGGTTTGATTTCAGATGTTTCGACTATATGATGGTGTGAAAGCATTACACCTTCAGTAGAAACCATAACCCCATCGTAAGTCATAAGGAGTTCTTTGACTTAAGTTGGGGCTACATCCTAATAAACCAATCACAAAGTTGAAAAATCTGGAATGGAAGCATTGGAAGTCGGACACCATCTGTACAGGTGCAGTGGGACCATCTCTGCAGGTGTCAGCGCCTCAGCAGCCGAGACTAGACTTGGAAGATGCTGGTTATGGGTTCTGTCTGCAGCCCAAAAGCTTGTCCATCGTCTCCTTTTTTACTGCTTTTGCCACCAGAGAGGGACACTCTTGCTCCAGGTTCTGGGAACAGTTCACCATGGCCCCCCATTTAAAACCCCATGAGGCTGGGCACAATGGTGCACACCTGTAGTCCTAGCTCAAGCAGGAGGATGGCTTGAGCCCAGGGGTTCTGGGCTGTAGTGCTCTATGCCAACCAGGTGTCCATACTATGTTCAGCATTAATATATGACCTCCCAGGAGCGGGGGACCACCAGGTTGCTTAAAGAGGGGTGAACCGACCCAGGTCAGAAATGGAGCAGGTCAAAACTCCTGTGCTGATCAGTAGTGGGATTCTGCCTATGAATAGCCACTACACTCCAGCCTGGGCAACATAGTGAGACCCTGCCTCTAAAAAAATAAATAAATAAAAAAATTTTTAAAAAGGCTGGGCACAGTGGCTCACACCAGTCATCCCAGCACTTTGGAAGGCTAAGGTGAGAGGATTACTTGAACCCAGGAGTTGGAGACCAGCCTGGGCAACATGGTGAAACCCCATCTGTACAAAAGGTAAAAATTAGCCAGGTGTGGTGGCGCACACCTGTAGTCCCAGCTACTCGGGAGGCTGAGGTGGGAGAATCACTTTGAGCCCGGGGAGGTAAAGGCTGCAGTGAGCAGTGATTGCACCACTGTACTCCATCTTGGGTGACAAAGTGAGACCCTGTCTCAAAAAAAAAAAAAAAAAAGAAAAGCCCATGAGGGTATCTCTGGATTTCTTTCTTCCTTTTCTTGTGAATGGTGCTTTATCACCCTCACTGTGATGGTTAATATAAGTGTCAACTTGATTGGATTGAAGGATGCAAAGTATTGTTTATGGGTATGTCTGTGAGGACGCTGCCAGAGATTAACATTTGAGTCATTGGACTGGGAGAGGCAGAACCACCCTTGATCTGGGTGGGCACCCTCCAATGGGCTGCCAGCGCAGTGAGAATAAAGTAGGTGGAAGGCACGGAAGGAGCTGACATGCAGAGTCTTCCAGCCTTCATCTTTCTCCCGTGGTGCATGCTTCCTGCCCTCAAACATCATCGGGTTCTTCAGCCTTTCGACTCTTGGACAACACAGTGGTTTCCCAGGTGCTCTCTAGCCTTTGGCCACAGACTGAAGGCTGCGCTGTCAGCTTCCCTACTTTTGCAGTTCTGGGGACTGCGCCTCTACTGGCTTCTTTGCTCCTCAGCTTGCAGCCTATCATGGGACTTCACCTAGTGATGGTGTGAGTCGATTCTCCTTAATAAAGTCCCTTTCGACCGCGCACGGTGGCTCATGCCTGTAATCCCAGCACTTTGGGAAGCTGAGGCAGGCAGATCACCTGAGGTCAGGGGTTCAAGACCAGCCTGGCCAACATGGTGAAACTCTGTCTCTATAGAAATACAGGAATTAACCAGGCATGATGGCGGGTGCCTGTAATCCCAGCTATTTGGGAGGCTGAGGTGGGAGAATCACTTGAACCCAGGAGATGGAGGTTGCAGTGAGCTGAGATTGCACCATTGCACTCCAGCCTGAGTGACAGAGTGAGACTCAGTCTCAGAAAAATAAAAAATAATAATAAAAAAAACCTCTCTTTCATATATACATCTATCCTGTTAGTTCTTTTTTTTTTTTTTTTTTTTTTGAGACGGAGTCTCGCTCTGTCGCCCAGGCTGGAGTGCAGTGGCCGGATCTCAGCTCACTGCAAGCTCCGCCTCCCGGGTTCGGGCCATTCTCCTGTCTCAGCCTCCTGAGTAGCTGGGACTACAGGCGCCCGCCACCTCGCCCGGCTAGTTTTTTGTATTTTTTAGTAGAGACGGGGTTTCACCGTGTTAGCCAGGATGGTCTCGATCTCCTGACCTAGTGATCCGCCCGTCTCGGCCTCCCAAAGTGCTGGGATTACAGGCTTGAGCCACCGCGCCCGGCCCTATCCTGTTAGTTCTGTCCCTATCGAGAACCCTCACTAATCCACTCACTTTCTTTTATTTATTTATTTATTTTTTTAGATGAGTCTTGCTCAGTCGCCCAGGCTGGAGTGCGGTGGTGCGAGCTCGGCTCACTGCAACCTCCGCCTCCCAGGTTCATGTCATTCTCCTGCCTCAGCCTCCCACGTAGCTGGGACTACAGGCTCATGCCACCATGCCTGGCTAATTTTCTGTATTTTTAGTAGAGACGGGGTTTCACCGTGTTAGCCAGGACAGTCTTGATCACCTGACCTTGTGATTCACCTGCCTCGGCCTCCCAAAGTGCTGGGATTACAGGCGTGAGCCACCACGCCCAGTGCCCACTCACTTTCTCAAGATCACTTAACATATGTAGTAATCCCCCATGCAGAATAAGGAAGTTATTCATTTTGCCCAGAACAGAGCAGGACTTCCAGTTCCAGGTTAGTGATTATCCCATTTTGTCACAGGATGTACCACAAGATCTCCTGAGGCTTCCCCTTATTTGATCAAATAGAAAATACATTCCTAGAGGCCGGGCATGGTGGCTCACACCTGTAATCCCAGCACTTTGGGAGGCCGAGGTGGGCGGATCACAAGGTCAGGAGTTTGAGACCAGCCTGGCCAACATAGTGAAACCCTGTCTCTACTAAAAACACAAAAAATTAGCCGGGCGTGGTGGCGGGCACCTATAATCCCAGCTACATGGGAGGCTGAGGCAGGAGAATGGCTTGAACCTGGGAGGCGGAGGTTGCAGTGAGCAGAGATCACATCATTGCGCTCCAGCCCGGGTGACAATGCAAGACTGTCTCAAAAAACAAAAAAAGAAAATACATTCTTAGAATTGACCTCCCTGTAGTCAACATAGATGGAATTTATTGCAAGCATTCGTCCTTTTCCCTTGAAAAAGATTTGCCTGTTCAATAACTTAGATCTGAGTTTCATTAGGAGGGAAATAGGTTTCCATTCTGATCTATCAGTAGTGGTTGCATAGAAGCCCACCTGGAAAGAGTTCTGTGATCAACTAGTCAGGCCTGCCAAGGGCCAGGCAGTAGGACAGTTAAAGCTTGTGTGCTAAACACGGTGCTTCAGCCCTCAGTATCTGTGGGGGATTGGTTCCAGTACCTTCCTTGGGTGCTAAAATCCATACATGCTCAAGTCCCTGATATAAAATGGCTTAGTATTTGCATATAACTTACCCACATCCTCCTATATACTTTAAATCTCTAGATTTTACACATAATACCTAATACAATCTAAATGCTATGTAAATAGTTGTTACGTTGTATTGTTTGGGAGATGATGACAAGGAAAAAGGCACATGTTCAGTACAGGCACAATGTTTTTTTCAATTTTTTCCAATTTTTTTTTTTTCTGGAGACAGGGTCTCACTCTGTCACCCAGCCTGGAGTGCAGTGGCACCAACAATAGTTCACTGCAGCCTTGAACTCCTGAGCTCCAGCAATTCTCTTACCTCAGCCTCCCTTGAGACTATAGGAATGCACCACCATGCCTGGCTTTCTTTTTTTTTCTTTTTTTTTTTTTTTGTGTGGTAGAAATGGGGTCTTGCTATGTTGCCCAAGCTGGTCTCAAACTCCGGGCCTTATGTGATCCTTCTGCCTCAGCTTCCCAAAGTGCTGACATCACAGGTGTGAGCCACCGTGCATGACCCTTCAAATATGTTTGTTCTGTGCTTGGCTGAGTCCATGGATACAGAATCCACAGATACGGCACCCACAGATACTGTCAGGCCTCTGAGCCCAAGTGAAGCCATCATATCCCCTGTGACCTGCATGTATACATCCAGATGGCCTGAAGCAACTGAAGATCCAAAAAAGAAGTGAAAATAGCCTTAACTGATGACAGTCCACCATTGTGATTTGTCCCTGCCCCACCCTGATACGATATATTCTCCCCCTCCCTTAAGAAGGTACTTTGTAATATTCTCCCCTGCCCTTAAGAATATACTTTGTATACCTATCCCAAACCTATAAGAACTAATGATAATCCCACCACCCTTTGCTGACTCCTTTTTTGGACTCAGCCCGCCTGCACCCAGGTGAAATAAACAGCTTTATTGCTCACACAAAGCCTGTTGGTGGACTCTCTTCACAGGGACGCACGTGACATTTGGATTGTGACTCGGATTGGGGGACTTCCTTTGGGAGATCAATCCTCTGTCCTCCTGCTCTTTGCTCCGTGAGAGAGATCCACCTATGACCTTGGGTCCTCAGACCAACCAGCCCAAGGAACATCTCACCAATTTTAAATCGGGTAAGCAGCCTCTTTTTACTCTCTTCTCCAACCTCTCTCACTATCCCTCAGCCTCTTTTTCCTTTCAATCTTGGCGCCATCCCTCAATCTCTCCCTTCTCTTAATTTCAACTCCTTTCCTTTTCTAGTAGAGACAGAGGAGACACATTTTATCCGTGACCCCAAAACTCTGACACCAGTCACGGACTCGGGAAGACAGTCTTCCCTTAATGTTTAATCACTGTGGGGATGTCTGCTTGATTATTCACCCACGTTTCAGAGGTGTCTGATCACCGCGGGGAAGCCTGCCTTGATCCTTCACCCTTAGTGGCAAGCACCACTTTCCTGGGGGGCAAGTACCCCCTACCCCTTCTCTCCATGTCTCTACCCTCTCTTTTCTCTGGGCTTGCCTCCTTCACTATGGGCAACCTTCCACCCTCCATTCCTCCTTCTTCTCCCTCAGCCTGGCAAGAACTTAAAACCTCTTCAACTCACACCTGACCTAAAACCTAAACCCCTTATTTTCTTCTGCAATGCCTCTTAACCCCAATACAAACTCGACAATGGTTCCAAATAGCCAGAAAATGGCACTTTTGATTTTTCCATCCTACAAGGTCTAGGTAATTCTTGTCGTAAAATGGGCAAATGGTCTGAGATGCCTGACGTCCAGGCATTCTTTTACACATCAGTCCCTTCCTAGTCTCTGTTTCCAATGCTACTTGTCCCAAATCCTTCTTTTCCTCCCGCCTGTCCCCTCAGTCCCAACCCCAAGTGTCACTGAGTCTTTTCAATCTTCCTTTTCTACTGACCCATTTGACCTCTGCCCTCCTCCCCATACTGGTCCTCCTCAGGTCACTCCCTGCCAGGCTGAATCAGGCTCCAATTCTTCCTCAGCCTCCACTCCCCCACCCTGTAATCCTTCTATCACCTCCCCTCCTCACACCCTGTCCGGCTTACAGTTTTGTTCCGCAACTAGCCCTCCCCTACCTGCTCAACAATTTCCTCTTAAAGAGGTGGCTGGAGCTAAAGGCATAGTCAAAGTGAATGCTCCTTTTTCTTTATCCAACCTCTCCTAAATCAGTTAGCATTTAGGCTCTTTTTCATCAAATATAAAAACCCAGCCCAGTTCACAGCTCATTTGGCAGCAACCCTGAGATGCTTTACAGCCCTAGACCTTGAAAGGTCAGAAAGCTGTCTTATTCTCAATATGCATTTTATTACCCAATCCACTCCCAACATTAAATAAAGCTCCAAAAATTAGATTATGGCCCTCAAACCCCACAAGAGGACTTAATTAACCTCGTCTTAAAGGTGTACAATAATAGAATAGAGGCAGCCAAGTAGCGACATATTTCTGAGCTGCAAGTCCTTGCCCCAACTGTGAGAGAAACCCTAGCCACATCTCCAGCACACAAGAACTTCAAAATGCCTAAGCCACACATGCCTAAGCCACAGCAGTCAAGCATTCCTACAGGAGCTTCTCCATCAGGACCTTGCTTCAAGTGCCAGAAATCTGGCCACTGGGCCAAGGAATGCCCACAGCCCGGGATTCCTCCCAAGCCGTGTCCCATCTGTGCAAGGACCCGCTGGAAATCAGACTGCCCAGCTTACCTGGCAGCCACTCTTAGAGCCCCAAAAGCTCTGGCCCAAGGCTCTCTGACTGACTCCTTCCCAGATCTTGGCTTAGCGGCTGAAGACTGATGCTGCTCAATTGCCTCGGAAGCCTCCTGGATCATCACAGATTCTTTGGGTAACTCTTACAGTGGAGGGTAAGTCCATCCCCTTCTTAATCAATACGGAGGCTACCCACCCCACATTGCCTTCTTTTCAAGGACCTGTTTCCCCTGCCTCCATAACTGTTGTGGGTACTGACGGCCAGGCTTCAAAACCCCTTAAAACTCCCCCACTCTGATGTCAACTTGGACAACATTCTTTTATGCACTCCTTTTTAGTTATCCTCACCTGCCCAGCTCCCTTATTAGGTCAAGACATTTTAACTAAATTATCTGCTTCCCTGCCTATTCCTAGGCTACAGCCATACCTCATTGCTGCCCTTTTCCCCAGTTGAAAGCCTCCTTCGCATCCTCCCCTTGTATCTCCCCACCTTAACCCACAAGTGTAGGACACCTCTACTCCGTCCTTGACCACCGATCATTCACCCCTTACCATCCCATTAAAACCTAATCATCCTTACCCTGCTCAACACAAATATCCCATCCCACAGCATGCTTTAAAAGGATTAAAGCCTGTTATCACTCACCTGTTACAGCATGGCCTTTTAAAGCCTATAAACTCTCCTTACAATTCCCCCATTTTACCTGTTCAAAAATCGGACAGGTCTTACAAGTTAGTTCAGGATCTTCACCTTATCAGCCAAATTGTCTTGCCTATCCACCCCATGCTGCCAAACCCATATACTCTCCTATCCTCAATACCTCCCTCCACAAGCCATTATTCTGTTCTGGATCTCAAAACATGCTTTCTTTACTATTCCTGTGCACCCTTCATCCCAGCCTCTCTTCACTTTCACTTGGACTGACCCTGACACCCATCAGGCTCAGCAAACTACCTGGGCTGTACTGCCGCAAGGCTTCACGGACAGCCCCCATTACTTCAGTCATGCCCAAATTTCTTCCTCATCCGTTATCTATCTCGGCATAATTCTTCATGAAAACATACCTGCTCTCCCTGCTAATTGTGTCTGACTAATCTTCCAAACCCTAACCCCTTCTACAAAACAACAACTCCTTTCCTTCCTGGGCATGGTTAAATACTTTCACCTTTAAATACCTGGTTTTGCCATCCTAATGAAACCATTATATAAACTCACAAAAGAAGACCTAGCTGACCCCATAGATCCTAAATCCTTTCCCCACTTCTCTTTCCATTTCTTAAAAACAGCCCTAAAATCTGCTCCCACACTAGCTTTCCCTCACTCATCCCAACCCATTTTCATTATACACAGCCAAAGTGCAGGGCTGTGCAATCGGAATTCTTACACAAGAGCCGGGACTGTGCCCTGTAGCCTTTCTGTCCAAACGACTTGACCTTACTGTTTTAGGCTAGCCCCCACATTATTCCTGATACCACACCTGACCCCCATGAATGTATCTCTCTGATCCACCTGACATTCACTCCATTTCCCCATATTTCCTTCTTTCCTGTTCCTCACCCTGATCACACTTGGTTTATCGATGACAGTTCCACCAGGCCTAATTGCCACTCACCAGCAAAGGCAGGCTATGCTATAGTGTCTTCCACATCTATCATTGAGGCTACCACGCTGCCTTCCTCCACTACCTCTCAGCAAGCCGAACTCATTGCCTTAACTTGAGCCCTCCCTCTTGCAAAGGGACTACATGTCAATATTGATACTGACTCTAAATATGCTTTCCATATCCTGCACCACCATGCTATTGTATGGACTGAAAAAGGTTTCCTCGCTATGCAAGGAATCATTAATGCCTCTTTAATAAAAACTCTTCTCAAGGCCCCTTTACTTCCAAAGGAAGCTGGAGTCATTCACTACAAGAGCCATCATAAGGCATCAGATCCCATTGCTCAGGGCAACACTTATGCTGATAACATAGCTAAAGAAGCAGCTAGTGTTCCAACTTTTGTCCCTCATGGCCAGTTTTTCTCCTTCTCATTGGTCACTCCCACCTACTCTCCCACTGAAACTTCCACCTGTCAATCTCTCCCCACACAAGGCAAATGGTTCTTGGACCAAGGAAAATATCTCCTTTCAGTCTCACAGGCCCATTCTATTCTGTCGTCATTTCATAACCTCTTCCATGTAGATTACAAGCCGCTAGCCCGCCTCTTAGAACCTCTCATTTCCTTTCCATCGTGAAAATCTATCCTCAAGGAAATCACTTCTCAGTGTTCCATCTGCTATTCTACTGCCCCTCAGGGATTGTTCAGGCCCCCTCCCTTTCCTACACATCAAGCTGGGGATTTGCCCCTGCCCAGGACTGGCAAACTGACTTTACTCACATGCCCTGAGTCAGGAAAATAAAATACCTCTTGGTCTGGGTAGACACTTTCACTGGATAGGTAGGGGCCTTTCCCACAGGGTCTCAGAAGGCCACCACAGTCATTTCTTCCCTTCTGTCAGACTTAATTCCTCGGTTTAGCCTTTCCACCTCTATACAGTCTGATAACGGACCGGCCTTTATTAGTCAAATCACCAAGCAGTTTCTCAGGCTCAGTAAAACCTTCATACCCCTTACTGTCCTCAATCTTCAGGAAAGGTAAAACGGACTGATAGTCTTTTAAAGACACACCTCACCAAGCTCAGCCTCCAACTTAGAAAGGACTGGACAGTACTTTTACCTCTTGCTCTTCTCAGAATTAGAGCCTGTCCTCAGGATGCTAGTACAGCCCATTTAAGCTCCTGTATGGACAGTCCTTTTCATTAGGCCTCAGTCTCATTCCAGACACCAGCCCAACTTGAACTGCACTGCAAAAACTTGTCATCCCTACTATCTTATGTCTAGTCATACTAGGAGTAAATACTCAACTACTGGTAAATACCCTACTGGTAAATACCCTGCCCTTGTTTACACTGCCGGTTTACACTTTTCCTTCAAACCATCGTAACTGATATCTCCTGGTTTTACCTCAAACCCCCACCCTTAAGTCTCTCTTAAAGTGGATAATCTTTGCTGACAGGGTACACTCTAATACTTTCACCCTGATGAAGTCCTATTCTTTACTTTTATACTCACTGTTATTCTCATTCCTGTTCTTATGCCACCCTCTACCTCTCCCCAGCTATCTCCACCACACTATCAATCTCAGTCACTCTCTCCTAGCTGTTTCTAATCCTTCTTTAACAAACAATTGCTGGCTTTGCATTTCTCTTTTCTCCAAAATCATTGCTGAGGCCTTGACTTACTCACTGCTTTAAAAAGAAAAAAAAAAAGACTCCATATTTTTAAATAAACAGTGTTTTTTTTTACCTGAATCAATCTGGCCTGGTATGATAACATAAAAAAACTCAAGGATAGATCCCCAAAACTTGCCAACCAACCAAACAATTATTCTGAACTCCCTTGGGCACTCTCTAATTGGATGTCCTGGGTCCTCCCAATTCTTAGTCCTTTAATACCTGTTTTTCTCCTTCTCTTATTTGGACCTTGTGCCTTCCGTTTAGTTTCTCAATTCATAAAAAACCACATCCAGGCCATCACCAATCATTCTATATGACAAATGTTCCTTCTAACAACCCCACAATATCACCCCTACAAATCTTTCTTCAGTTTAATATCTCCCACTCTAGGTTCCCACGCTGCCCCTAATCCCACTCAAAGCAGCCCTGAGAAACATCGCCCATTGTCTCTCTATACCACCCCAAAAAAATGTTTGCCACCCCAACACTTCACCACTATGTTGTTTTGTTTTTCTTATTAATATAAGAAGACAGGAATGTCAGGCCTCTGAGCCCAAGCTAAGCCGTCATATCCCCTGTGACCGGCACGTATACATCCAGATGGCCTGAAGCAACTGAAGATCCAAAAAAGAAGTGAAAATAGCCTTAACTGATGACATTGCACCATTGTGATTTGTTCCTGTGCCACCCTAACTGATATGATATGTTCTCCCCTGTCCTTAAGAAGGTACTTTGTATGTCTATCTATCCCAAACCTATAAGAACTAATGATAATCCCACCACCCTTTGCTGACTCCTTTTTCGGACTCAGCCCGCCTGCACCCAGGTGAAATAAACAGCCTTGTTGCTCACACAAAGCCTGTTGGTGGACCCTCTTCACACGGACATGTGTGACAGATACGGCACCCACAGATACAGAGGGCTGACTGTATTTGCCCAGGCTGGTAAGAGGTGGGGTAGGGGATAGAGGTAAGGGTTAGCTTTGCAGATTGGAAAGGGAAGAGATTCTGCAGAAGTCTTATTGGTTTTTCAACCTCTTTTCTGAGTAGTTTAGAGTGGGGTGGTTGCTGATTGAGAATGTTTATGTCTGTTTGACAGAGTCAAGGTGGAAGGTATCCAGAAAAGAGAAGTACACACGGCAGCTCTTGGAGTTTTGACACCCCCTCCCTGCCAATCCAGGGCACTGTTAGCAGGGCAGTCACAAAGACTCTTGGGCCAGGCTGCCTCTCGGCACTCAGGCCTGAAGAGGTGGGGAGAGCAACAGCCTGTAGAAGTGGCCTGGCAGGAGAAATGCTGAGTTTGTCTTTCTGCCAGAGGCAGGCACAGGATGTACTAATTGCAGCCTGGTCCTCTGCTCTAGGTACACATGGATTTAGACTTTATGGAGTCTGAAGCTTTTGGTAGGATTGGCTGGACAAGGGAGTCCTTTTTAAGAAAGTCATACAGAATTAGGTAGGGACCCTCGGAAGGGGCCTGTGCAAGTGAAGGGGCCCTGGAGCTCAAGCTTCAGAAAAGGATACATGCAAGAAGAAAATAAAACAAGATGGCTGGGCACGGTGGCTCACGCCTGTAATCCTAGCACTTTGGGAGGCTGAGGCAGGTGGATTGCCTGAGCTCAGGAGTTCTAGACCAGCCTGAGCAACATGGCAAAAACACACCTCTACTAACAAAACAAAAAAAAATTAGCCAGGCATAGTGGCACACACCTGTAGTCCCAGCTACTCAAGAGGCTGAAGCACTAGAATCACTTGACCCTGGGAGGTGGAGGTTGCAGTGAGCAGAGATCGTACCACTATACTCCAGCTTGAGCAACAGGGTCAGACCCTGTCTCAAAAAAAAAAAAAAAAAAAAAGATAAATATATTTGGTATGGCCATTGATGTAATCAATCATGACTAGGAATCACCCACAAAACCCAAAAGGACAGTGTTCAGAGAGCTTCCAAGTGGGTGAACAGGAAGACTTCCATGCGCTGGGAGGGTGGTGCACCCCAACTCCACAGAGATGGAAACTCCCGTGCTGAGACCAGCTCAGCCGCCCTAACCCAGTGGCGTTAGAGGAATTAAAGACACACACACAGAAAATCAGGGGTCTCACAGCCCTCAGAGCTGATAGCCCTGAACAGAGATTTGCCCACGTATTTATTGACAGCAAGCCAGTGATAAGCATTATTTCTATAGATTATAGATTAACTAAAAGTATTCCTTATGGGAAACAAAGAGATGGGCTGAAACAAAGGGATGGGCTCTGGCTAGTTATCTGCAGCAGGAGCATGTCCTTAAGGCACAGATTGCTCATGCTGTTGTTTGTGGTTTAGGAACACCTTTAAGTGGTTTTCTGCTCTGGGCGAGCCAGGTGTTCCTCGCCCTCATTCCGGTAAACCCACAACCTTCCAGCGTGGGCGTCATGGCCATCATGAACATGTCACAGTGCTGCAGATTTTATTTATGGCCAGTTTTGGGGCCAGTTTACAGCCAGATTTTGGAGGCCTATTCCCAACCCTCCTGTGCTCAGGACCCTTCCAGAGCTCACCCCCTGTATCTCCAGGTAGACCATGTCAGAATTGAATTGAATTATAGGAATCCCAACTGGTGTCTGCTGCAGAATTACTTGGTGTATGGAGAAAAAAAGCCCAAACATTTGGCATGACAAGTGTTGTGTTGGCTAGGTGTGGTGACTCATGCCTGTAGTCCCAAAACTTTGGGAGGCTGAGGCAGGAGAATCACTTGAGCCTGGGGGTTCGAGACCAGCTTAGGTGACATAACGAGACCCCATCTCTACAATAAATAAAAAATTAACTGGCATGGTGCACACCAGTAGTCCTAGCTACTCAGAAGACTGAGGTAGGAGGATCACTTGAGCCCAGGAGTTTGAGACTGCAGTGAGTCGAGATCGTGCCACTGCACTCCAGCTTGGGCAACAGAGTGAGATCCCATCTCAAAACAAAACAACAATAAAAAAACTTTATCTGAAGAATGCAGGTCCCAGGCCGGGAGTGATGGCTCACGCCTGTAATACCAGCACTTTGGGAGGCTGAGGCAGGTGGATCACAAGGTCAGGAGTTTGAGACCAGTCTGGCCAACATAGTGAAACCCCGTCTCTACTAAAAATACACAAAACTAGCCGGGCATGGTGGCGGGTGCCTGTAATCCCAGCTACTCGGGAGGCTGAG